GGCTCTCAAGTTGTTTTCCTTTGTCTTATTTTATCTACATTTAATTTCACACAAAGCAATACTGCATTGTGCGTCAAAAATGTGGAATCTGGTAAAAAAAAAATCTGCAATAAGGCAGTGCACACATTGCACACATACACGGGAGCACACATTGCTGGTGGATTACTTTGTAACGTGGATGCAATAATATCCTCTGTTGACCTCAAGATCGTGACAGCTTCAGTAAACTGCTGGTACCATGAGAACTTTCCAAAGACTATTACAAACACAGTGCTGTGTTTTGACATCTAATAAGCTTTAAACACATAAATCCATTTCTCCAACTGAACTTCCTGGATCATATTTTGTTGTCTCATAGTTAAATGAAACAACATGTCTCCACCAAAGCAGCCTATTATATTGTTTTAACACAGCGCAAATCTGTGGTTACAGCCTAAGCCTCCTAATTATCTTGCAATAAATTAGCATAATCCACAGGGAGAAGACCTGGACCATCCTTGTGGTTCGGTTGGTAAAAGATGCATAAGTAGATATAGCATCCTTGAAACTGTTTGAATCTGGTCTTCTCCTCATTTCCTGCCATCACACCATAATGAAACACTGTATTCCCATTAGAGAGTGGGCAAAAAACCAGTTGTGAACTCAGCATATTCTGTGGGTGATACTTTTACATGGATAAGAAATGGAAAAAAAAGGATGAACTACAAGACAAAAGCTTCTCCCAATGTGCACAACTAGTTTGAGAAGGCAGAGCGTTGCAGTTTCAGTCTGAGCTATGGCAAAATTTGGCAAGACGGCACAAATGAGACAGGAGAGTCAAAAAGCATCACATAAAAACTGTGCCCCTTTTCCAGGAGGCAACAGTAAGTGGACTTCAATATGTGGCTGCAACATCAAGAATCATATTTTATATCAACTTCGTATTAACATTTATTTTAAATTGTGTTATTATTAAATGTACCTGACTGGTATTTATGCACAGTTCTGGCTGCTAAATGTAAATCATTGTTAAATATGAAAAAGCCTCTTTTTACCAACTATGTGCCATAAATACATGAGAACAACATGCATTCCTCATAAATGCCTGTCATTATTAGTCTCATCCATATCTAAGTCCTATACTGGAAAAGTCCTCTAACAATGCCACAGAGGCCAACATGCAACCATTGCACACAGTCATGCCAATACTTTCAGCAATAACAGTCTTATTTGTGTTGTATAATTTGGGTATCAACATACGATGAGAGTCCCAGCACCTGCTAGGATAATAGTCAGCCTTGTAAAAATGTGATATTATCATCCACATACACGTCTCTGCTTAGGCTGAATAGGATACCAGACTGAAACCTCCAAATAACGTCACCAAACTACTTCTTTGACATTATCCTTGTCTCTATCTGCCAGGAAGACACTGAGTCAGTACTCAGATGTTGTATGTGAGGTGAAGAATATATGAGGGTACGCACACTGTAATCCACCAGCCTCTTAAACAGATTCAGATTATGGTGAATGCATGCTTGTCTGTTTCCTTCCTTTCTATATCTGGCCCCTGATCTTGCTTGGATCTAATTATTCCTGTTAAATACATGCATTGTATGAACCAGATTCAAGGGGCGTGTCATTGGTGAAATAAGTATATTCTGTCAGCACAAGCAGCTGCGACTCAGCAGCAGTTGTTACATACAAATGCAGCCATTTTCTTTGGCCAGCACACTTCTCTACCCATAGACACAGAACCAGCAAACCCTTCGTAAGCTCATGTGTGATTCTGCTTTGTAAGTGTTAGCGTGCATGTTTTTGAGCGTGCATGAGGTGTGTGCTTGACTGTGTGCCCGCATCTGTGTGTATGCACACATAATTATGCATCATAGATCTGTGAGTTAGCCCTTGAAAAAAAACATGTTGGTTCATTCACACTAACAATACAATATTTTCCAGATGGTACTGGTCCATATTGATCTGCAGCCAGAGAATCTATCCTCCTGTGCTTTCACACATCAAGCAATAAAGTTACCAACAGATATTCTACCACAGCTGCATATATTATTATGTTTCCAACACAGGCAAGTCCAAGATATTATTTAGCCCAATGTCAGACATCTAATGGAGTATTGTTCCTTTGTTGTGTGCCAGAAAAATAATAAAAGAGTAATAATCTAATTAAACAGACAGTCCAAATTATCTTTATGTCAAATCGACTAATGTAAACTCAGCTGATGAATATTTTTTTTACTGTTACAGTGAACCACTGTATAGTAGTGCTGGTGAAGAGTACATACAGTACCTCTTCCTCCATACCAAATCTTCCTGGATCAGAACACACGCTGTTTACCTGTTATAAGGCTTGGCTGATGTGGTACCTCCTTTAAGTCAATTGTTTCTAAATCATGTCTGTTCTTTGGCATCTAAATAAAAGATGGAAGCAAAATGTGACTAGTCTTTTTTTAAAACTGAGAATCCTCGTCATTTGCAAGTGGCCTTACACACTTGGCATGGACTGCACTACAGCTACTTTAAACCTGTATTCTTTGTAAGGTCTAACGTGTTAGAAAACAGCTGCCTCACATTCAGCAGACACAGCAAATGTACACTCAATAGACATTTTCCTTTTAATTTTAGTTGGCCTCCATCAGTTGCTGAGCTGAGTGAAATATTTGGCTATTTAGCTAAAAAAAATTCTCCACTATGTTAATACCAGTACAGATAAATCAGTAATAAATTTATATCAGCCAATAATATCATCCTGGCTGACATATCGGATTGGCTTTAACTTAAACTGTTAACTCATAAACCTTTCAGGCAGTGACTAACTGTCAGTGAAAAGCAACTAAAAAAGCCATAATTTCCTCAAAAATTTTGAATACTGCAATTATGGTGAGGGGGGTGGATTTTTTCACAAATAAACAGAGTAAAGAGAGTGTTACAGACAAAGTACCAGTCTCCATCTGATGTGTGGATCTAACTGAGCTGTGATGATGTAAGACTGTGTTCAATTTGGCACCTGAATGTGATTAGTTTTAGTCTTAATCTTTTCACAAAAATGCATATTAATTTTTAGTCTTCTGAGCTTTGTAGTTTTAGTCAGTAACCGCTAAAGACATTTAAATCTAGTTTGCACCATTTCCCCTGCATTTTCAATGTTTATATCTTCTAAACATTTTGAGGCTACAGCTGTCACCATATTTGTTGTGTACACGTGGATGGACTACTGAACGGGCCTACCAGGCACAGGCCCAGGGGCCCAAAGGCCAGGGGCTTGGTGCTGGAGGGGATTTTCCAAGTCTCTGAACTCTACTGGAGGGATGACCCCCATTTTTGCAAAAGATATTCCCTCAGGTGGTGTTTTGATGGTGGTGGAGGAGATGCTGTCTAGCATGTTGCTCCACAATCTCCCATAGGTGTTTAACTGAGTTGAGATCTGGTGACTGTGAAGGCCACAGCATATGATTCACATCATTTTCATATTCATTCAAACCATTCACTGACCCTTCATGTCCTGTTGATGCGGGCATTGTCATCCTGGAGGAGACCACTCATTTAGTCAGGTTTTTCCTTTTAATCTCGTTTCATCATGAAAAACAGGTCATCAGCGAATATCTCTTGCCCTAGTTTTCACTGACGAAATCAACACTGGTATGAGGTCTGTTGCATAAAATGGAGACATTGGCATTGGTACCTGCCTAGGCCTGAGATCAATCAGACTGAATAATAAAGCCTAGTAATTATAGACTGCGATTCCAGCTTCTAGCAGGGCTTTATTCTTTTGCCTCACTTCTGAGTGCTTGCTCAACATTAGGTTTTCGAGTTGATGTATTTTACAATTTTCACACTAAAACTAATTCACTAGCATTAGAAACATGGCTAATGGATAGACTAAGTAATGCTGTAATAAACGTGGAAATGAAGGCAGAAGGAAGGCAATTATAGAACAAGTAAAACATCAAGGATTTTGATTAGAAAGGGTCAAAAAGTGTTTTGTCTGTTTCCTGCACATCCCAGTATGTAGGAGGTAGTTCGTCTCTGTTATTCATGCTGGATTTCTGTCAGTTCCTGGCACAGCCTCTTCCTTAAATGGACTAAGATGACAAGACTATTATTGTAGTGTGGGTTGTCTGTTTTTCATAGTCCTGCTGTTTTGGTTTTAATTGCTTCAAGACAACATATCAGATCAGCTTTTACATGAATGAAGGCAAATGAAGTGGCAGAGTAGTGGAAGAATTTAATTTGACAAATTTGTTACCATTCAAAGCAGATCTTTCTCACCGGGGCAAATGGACTATAACCAATTATCCAGCAGTCCACAGGGGCCACTTAAGACAGAACCACTGCAGTCAACTAACATAGAGCCACCAGGTGCATGAAGACCACTTGCTTTAGACAAACCACCTTTAAAAAACACAGCATCTATATCCAGTGTTACCTGGGTCATTCTTAACCTCCAACAAGCACAAATCTGTCTGTCAACTAGTCTTATATTTCTTAATATAAACACAAAGGGCACTCTGATCTTCATCCTTGAAAGGATACGACTTGCAGTAGCCTATGTATACACTTAGTGTTTACTGTCAATAAATCCCATAAAAAGACCAAAGCCAACAATGTGTTGGCTTTGGTCTGATTCCAACTTCCTTGGCCTGTCTGTGGTCTTCAGCCCCAAGCTCATCAGTTCCTACTGTAGACATCACTATTTATATACAGCATACAAATGCTGTATATACTTCCTTTTTTATGTTAAGTAATTTAATAAAACAGCTGGGCACTGCAGTTTCTAGTAAATGGTAACAGCAATAAATAGTACATTTCTAAGGGACTATTTTCAGCATGGGATTACTACACTTCTACATTTATTGACTTCCTAATATAACATGGTGTTTACATGTGGGGAACCTCAATACATGGAAGGTATAATATAACAGGACAAAGATTTGTAAAAACAATTGATCATTGTAATAGTTTGACAAGAGGATGAGGGGATTCTACTGAAATATATGAGATCTTACCTTGTGTCTGCACTTCAAGACAACACCATAGGCTCCTACAAAAGAAGCAAACACCATAGTTGACTGAGATTTGCCACAGCTGACTGTTTTATGAATATGCATGAATATACATAAGTATTCATGTGTTGTAGGCAGTACTTTTGCATTTCAAATAAAAGCAAATCATCATAAAAAAGAGGTCAAACTCAGTTTAAAAAATCTTCATTTGTGATTAATATGTTCTCATGAACTATAGACATGAATAAACAAAGACAAGCTTGATTTAGAAAGTTTCTTATTCTGCCGTTAAGTGAACTGTCCAAGCATGCTAGGAAGTGTTGACAAGTTTAGAAACTACTGTGTTCATTTTATATCAGCAAATTGCTACAAAGTCTTAAATTGTCTTTTTCCCTCATATATTCAAATGAAGTAAGGAAAAACATCCTCCTCTATTAAAGGACAGGTGGCTCAGGAAGTTGGCAAGCTACTGTGGTTCTGATGTTATTGGCCCTGGCCGTCACACACACACACACACACATCTCAGGTGATGTGTGTGTGATGGCCAAGAGGAATTCTTGGACTGAGAAGGCATGACAAACTGCACCGTGTCCTTGTAGCGCATCAGTTGTCAACTCTTGTAAAGATGTTGCTTGTGCATGCATAGCTTAGAGACTTGGTTTTATGTAAAAAATTGGTTTTATGTAATTTAACACATGAACTACATATCACATGTACTTTACATCACTGCAGTTTTTTTTAAATGCTCTGTGTTTATGTATTTATTTTTGGCATTCCATTTCTTTCTGATAATGTGACCATTTTGCCTCTTTGTTCATGGAATCTAGAGAATTTGCTAGTAATGGATATAGAATATGTGAGCTACTGACACGCTACAGACAAATGGCAATAAAACATGGATGCCATAAATATGATAATGCAAGTTCAATAAAACGTTCTGCATTAAAAGTATTTGCTGTCCACCAGCTGGCTCTCAGATCTTGGATGTTGGTGTTTCCCACACGTCCACTAACAATGAAACAAAAATACCATCATTTGTAGATTATTCCAAAGATACAAAACCACTAGAATTATTCCTCTCACTTTATTTTCCTCCTATGAAGGTGGAGATAATTACATAAGATTTTGTGTATTTTAACATGCAGCACTCAGTCCTAAATCATTAACAAAACTGACTGACCTGATCACTCATGGAGCACACTGTGCCATGAGTGCAGAGGCAGTTAGTAGAGCTGGACTGAATAACTGAAACAACTTTACTGTTTAATGTGGCATTAACAAGTGTTGACTTCCTTCCAGACTGACTCACTGCCTGACGGACACTCGGCTTTCAAACTCCAGCTCGAAGTTCCGTTGTGTCTTCTATACTACACACAGCATAAAACTTGTCAGACAGGTAGCTGCCCTCACCTAAGGGTCTCTGCTACTTTATATCAACCATATCAACCAAGTGGCTCAAGGAAAAAGAAAGCCACGAGAAGTATTTTGAGGGAATTTAAATCAAATCACCCTATTAAACCGACACTTATAACAATAAAATGCAATCCCAAAACCCACCTCTTCATTTCAACCATACAAACCAAGTTATGAATCCAGGTCACAGTGTTTAGCTTTAGTTTTTTCACATTAAAATTGTTACTAATGAATAAATATTTTAAAAAATCTCCTTGACTATACTGAGTTACACAGTCATCGACAACAGATCAGACTTTTAATGGCCCTGTTCCACAAGCAAACTGGATAAAACCAATCAAATGATTGCTCACAAAAAGCCCTCCAACAAATTTGTAGCTCACTGAACCAGAACTTAATGTTGGAGACTGATAATGTACAGAACATGCTTTTAAATATCACACTGCTACATTTTAAGCAAACAAGCACTCTCACCTTCACCCACAATCCCAAGGACTTCAAATTTATTCATTACATCACAGATGTCAGGGATCTTCATGAAGTCAAAATATATGTTGTGTGATGTGCATGGAGCTCGGGCAGGGGGGGTCCGGCTACAGGATGGCATGAGGCAGCCAGCCGCTGGCTCCCAGGAGACGAACAGTGGCTGTGAGCCATAATATTCGCCACATGCCTTCGTCTGTGGCCCGTCTTCACCTGGACAAAAATCTTGCATTAAAACATGTACGGTATCTATTTCTCACTTACCCTGAAAAGTGCAATAAAACTGCAAATACCACATGTGAAATACCTTTGTGTTTGTGAGCCCATAAACATGCATGTGAACAGGGGCATTAAAAAAGAAACGGCCAAAATCAATGAAGCAGAGGCTGAGACACCTTGACTTTTAGTCTCTGAGTCAAGCTTCAAAAACACTGGCTCCTACAATTCCCATAATGCAAGTTTTCTTTGATTATATCTTTCCTGCCTGTTCAGTGCTCTCAGCTTTCAAACGCCATGCCTCATACTTCTGATGATGGTTTTCTGACCAATATTTTTATATAATGATTTAAGCATGCAATGATATTTAAGTGTGTAACCCTGATGACGTGGTCAGGGTTATTTTCTCAGACTTTAAAAGGCTCTTTTAGAGCCACAGAAGAAATTACACAACTAGTTTCAAACTAGTTTCAGAGGGTGAGATGATGACAAAGCTGTCCTTTATGTGTAAAACCAGTGGACTGCCCCCTTTACACAAATTAAGTGAGTTGTAACGTGTCAAATTCCATTTTTCATACATGGAATAATGGGCAAATAAAGTCAGCATTAATGCTCCAAAGTTATTTGCAGTATTCCCACATTTTCGGGAGAATGAAACAAGACCATACAATCTCTTAATGTGATAGCGCCTCCCCTGTATCCACACACTCTTTACCCTTAATAAATCAGACAAGACTCCAGATACCATTTTCTCAATTTCATTTCAATTTGCTAGAAAGCTCAAGGACCTGTGTAGCCTACTCAAAGCCCCAGTCTCCTACGGCGCCGTGGGCACAAGAGCTGCTCATCAGTATGCAAAACCTTGGTACCAAAATAAACTCTGTCTCCCAGAACACTAAGCACTGCTGTATGGTGTATTACTCCCTTATCCTCTTCAGCTGCACACAGTCAACACAGGTATACTGATAGCAACCTAAGGTAAACTTGAGGAAAAAGACAGATGACTAAACCTAAATGCTGACCTCTGCGGAGAAGATGTTTTGCCCTTTGAAACAAACTTGTTTGTAACTGTGCCTCCTTCTTCTCCTCATTTCACAGCATACATTCTGTGGCATGCAACCTATTGTTTTTGCAAAGCAGATTTTAGCCAACTACTGTGCAGGCCCAGACCGAGAAGACGACTATGAGCAAGAACACACTGGGCATTGCTCTGGATCATACACAGTATTCTGTCTCTATCAACAGAATGACTCATGCGTGGTCATGGACAGAGTCTGTTGAATTAAAAATGCAGTGTCTCAAAGCTGCTCACATGATCAAAGCACTGTTACCTGTGTCTGCATTAGGTTTATAACCATTAAAATGGTGGTAACAATTTTGGCAAAATGAGTGATCCAGCTTACAAACTTCACTGCCGTTTGAGGTTATTTAGCTACACATTTTTGGGAACGACACTAAACGAGAACAACAACCAGCATACACCTAGTTATTTTGAAATGTAGCATTATTATAAAAATAAGACAACAATTGCCATATAAATATTTGTCACACTTATCCTGTTGCTCCTTGTTACAATTCGGCGGCACAAACACAAGGACCAACTATAGCTGTGAAACCATTGTTTATAACAGTGACTGTAGCTCGCCTCTGCGTTCAGGTGCGTTTGTGTGTTAGCTACGACTGCCCACAGAATGAATGTAACTCCCACATTTTCAGTGCATAGCAGCATAAAATCTAACAAGTCAAACAAATTGCTACAGTCAAACCAACTTAGTATACATTCCCTCACATTAACTGCCTTCTAGTCGGACTCTGGTTAGTTATGTTATAATTAAGCTAGTTGAATTGCCTTGGTGCTCTGCCTGATTCACAAAACATACAAAACCGCAAATTAGCTAAAAACAAATCTCAAGCTTGGTAGCGTTGCTTTTCTCACGACCTTGCACTGGGAATAATCACATTATACTTAAAGCTTACAATTCTTATCTATATAATAATAAAATGAAGTACTTACTCAGTCAATGGCTGGCAAAACAAAAAAAATGATGGAATTGGGCCCATATATCCACCCACCAACGAAGATATTTTCATTGCAGCAGGCATCTACAGTAACTGGATCGTGCGGTTGACAAGCTGCAAGCATATCACCAGGCAACAGTTTGAGTGGCGTAAGACCAACCAATGAAAACTGTTAAAACACTTGCTTATACGAACGCCCCCTTCTTGTGGACCAATCAGAGAACAGAACGGCTACAAGGGGAGAACACTGTGTTGCGGTTTGAAGGTGTTTCGAATGAGGTGAGATATTATTGTTCTAATTTCTCAATTACATAATTCACAAGATCACACCCTTCTTTCAGTATGATAACATAATTTATCTACAAACCATACCAAAGTAGATAAAAATGTTGTAAAACAGCAGAATTTATAAAAAAAGAGATCAGACAGTGGAAACAGAGCTATTACAGTGAGGAAAAAGTGTCTTGCTCAAAGTAGCTTGTATTCACACGTCACCACTGTCTTTAGGTTGTTGCGTAAAGAGTTCATTGTAATAGCTAAATGTGGCATTTTCACACACTTCTCTGATAGACAAGATTGCAAATTGCAATTGTAAAATAAAAATTGTAAAGTGCAGTGCAAGAAAACATTTGCAGCTAGTGGTCCTTGACAACAGTTTTCATCTAATAAACATCATTCACACATGATGAACCAACATACAGTGTTGGGCGTATTATATACAGTTAATAAATTTGAATTTGTTTCCTAAGTGATCACAAAAGCTCAAAGAAATGGTTACAAACTGCAGCGGAAAGTTGCTCAGTAAGGTTTATGGGCAAATGTCTATTGAACTATTGCAAATAACATAATGTAGTAAAACTGTAAATGCTCCACATGGCTAAGGCTTATAATTCCTGCATTATTATAGGAAGACATTTTAAAAAGTGACACACCTTCCTCTTGGACTAATTTAATGGAGCAAAAAGCTAAATGAAAACTGCCGCTAGGATCCTGTGTGTCTTTATCCATGACCCCCATGCATTAAGACCAAATCAGAACTTTTGACTCTTGATAGGACCTGTGTACGTTTTTTATGTTTGTGCCGTAATATACACTCACCGGCCACTTTATTAAGTACAGCTGTACAACTGTGTGCACTTCAATACAACACTTCTGCCTTAACATCTGTCTATGAAGATCAAAATGCTTCAGTTTTTGGTGAAATTGTCATAAACGTATACATTTGAGATCATAGTTAAAGATAGTGTTGTACTGGACTACATTGTAGTTAGAGGCATCTCTATATTTTTGCCCTCCCCAGCTGCATACACAAGAGGGTCAGACTTTTAGGAACACCTCTAAATATAATTTAGTCCAGTACAACACCTCTAACTATGACCTCAGAAGTAAACATATAATTGAATTGATACATTTATTTATTTATTTAACCAAAAACTGACACATTTTGAGCCTCATAAACATAGATGTTAAGGTGGAAGTGTTATACTGAATTGCCTACTGTACAGGTACACCTGTACAATTATCAACTGTACAGGTGTACAGTGGTATACCTGTACAGTATAAAGTGGCTTGTGAGCATATATGAAACCATGCTGCCACCCATTGGATGAACCTAAAACTAAAACTTCTTCTCACATGATAAATACAATTGCATATCGATCTTAAATTAACTTTGCTTCAGCTGTGGTGGCATGTAGGAAGATCTCTTTGGATATCAGTCTGATAATCTTCTAGTCAAAAAGCCCAGTGTTAATTAAAATAGTGTCAAGAGGGAACTGCCAGTAACAGTATAAGAATTCTGACCATCTTCATCAAACAGGCTTCATAATATTACTCAGGTGGGCAGGAACTACTGAGTTCTTCAAAATGCTTTCAGTTTGTTTACTGACATAGTATGTAATGTGGAGATGGCCCTCAAAAGACTTTATTTTAGAAGTGTATTTCAGTACCTAATTAATCATGTTGTAATTGATTAGGTCTTCAGGCATGTGTTGTTATTTGTAACCTTGCTCTTGCCAGAACATCACTAATGCAATCTTAATTACAATTATAATTAGGAATCATATAATCATAATTGTAATTATAAAAGAGACACAGCACAGCACTCACTTCATAACCTGTCCTCATAATCTGTCTGAGTAGTTGTTGCACCCCTAACACATTAGTCTGTCAGCATGGGGAATAAATACTGATTGGATGTCATAGTCACATTGGAAACCAGTGATAAAGATTTTGATTTTCAGTCAAAAAGGACCTGACGAGGTGAATACTTCCATCACACTTCTCACTGCAAGGAGGACATAAACACTAAGGAAGCCTTTATAAAGAAGAAAAATGTTGGTTTTATAAACCCACTGGTAATCAGTGTTAATTTGGGGAATATGTCATATTCTGCCAGGTAGTAGTCCTCAATGATAATACAAAAATTGAGACAAATATTACTATTACTGTTACAACGTAAGACATAGGTCCACACTTGATATGTGCTTGTGATGCAGCTCTTTAAATATGCTTTAGTGAGGATCACTCAGTTACAAGCCCTTTGTTTGTCTGCATCAAATTTCAGCTACACCACTGATAAATGAGAAACTCCTGCAACTGAATGTAAAATCACAGATGTTCTTAAATACACATTTAATATGTGTAACTTCAGTTTTACAGATTCACAAATACATTTTTTGTATTTGTGCCCAGCCCACATGGATGTACAAGACAAATACTATTCCCAGGAAAAACAAAACTAACAAACAAACAAAACTAACAACAACAAAGTTTACCATAATGCCCTCTTTATATAACAAACATACATTAAGCTTTTTCTTCTGTCCCATGCCCTACAGATAAACTCTCTCACATAAAAAGTTCCTTTTCTAAAACACAACTCAAGTTTCCTGTAGTCATCCATTCAAAAAATGTATCATACTGTATATTGAAAACACTTTACAAACTAGTCTCCCTCAAATCATCAAACAATGGACAATACAATATAAAATGGATTTTATCTTCAATCTTGCCTAATTTACATAACAATCACAATCTTTTATCTTCTGGTGAACCAGCAAACCTGGCTGTTTCAGTAGCTTAAACAAAGAGTACCACAATATATCTGAACACACAAAGATACAGTGGGGCAAATAAGTATTTGATACACTGCCGATTTTTCAAGTTTTCCCACTTACAAAGAATGGACAGATCTGTAATTTTCATCATAGGTACACCTCAACCGTGAGAGACAGAATCTACAAAAAATTCCAGAAAATCACAGTTAGATTTTTAAATAATTTATTTCCATTTTATTGCATGAAATAAGTATTTATTTATTATCTCCACTAATAGTCAAAGCTGGGGTAAATGTATGAACTCTCAAACATGCACAAATTGTTAATGCTTTATAGCACCTGTTAATGCTATAAAAGCAGAGCTACTGTGTAACAACTGGCTTCAGAGTTCTGGTAACCTATTGCAGAGCAAACAAAGAAAAATGCAGACCCACTGAAACTGAACAACCACAACCTCAACACTAGTGAAGGAGGTATTCACATCCATTATTTAGGCAGAAGTAGCAAAATATGTTATAATACAAGTACTTACTGTTACTTCTAAGTAGTTACTTTGAAGTCACAGTTTTTAAAAAATGTTACCTGAATGTGCATAGCAGCAGATAAATGCAGAGAAATGTATATAAATATGGTATATTGCATTTTTATGATCATACTTTTTGTATGTCTTAATTTGTAGCAAATAGGTATATTTGTCAGAAAATGTAGTGAAGTAAAAATTACAATATTTTTCTCTCAATGTTAGTAGCTTATAAGTATAAAGTAGCATACAATGGACAAACTGAACTATAATGGTTGAGTAAATATACTGTACATACTGCATTTGATCCCTGAGCCTCAGTCATTGCTGAAAATTTTATAATACAGTTATGCAGTTTTCCTTGGTCCGAGAGTGGCCTTGAGTCACAAAACACAGGTACCATTACAATACTTTTTAAAAGTAACCAAAGACATTATTCACCAGTTTAGTGTCTATTTAGTGTAGTGTGCTAAAATCTATTTGAATATTGCGAGTGTCTGATATCCATCCATCCATTTTCCTCCACTTATCCGGAACCAGGT